AAAAAAAAAAAAAAAGAAAAGAAAAAAGAAAGAAAGTGGAAAAAGAGAAATTTTACAAATCAATTAAAGAGAGGAACAGAAAGAGGAAAGGTTAAAAATCTCCTAGTTGAAGAGAGGAAAATACGAACATCCTATTTTCCCCCCCGGCCGAAAACTACCATCATCACCAACGTCATTAGACCCGATATTCTCTCATCATCATCATTATTTTTTTTTTGCCTCCCTTGTCCGATTTCCCATTCCTTTAACTTGTGTCCTCCTTCCCCCGACGCCCGCCTCTCCTCTTTCCACCCCCACTCCCCTTACTTCTTTTTCCCCCCTTCCTTTTTTCTTTTCTTTTCTTTTCTATCTTTTTTGGACTGGATTGATTACTCAGCACCATGAGTACCATTCAAAATTTGAAGAATTTCATACGTCATGGGAAACAAGCCCGCTTGGTAACTCCCCATGCCGAGCCAACCACCAATGTTTCTCCCATACATGCCGAGCATCAACGTCAACCCCAAGGCTCGTACCCTCCTGCCGCAGGCAACCTAGATGCCATTGACAGCAGGCTCGGGAACGGTCAAGCTCAAGCGCCTCAAAAGTCATCGGCGGACTCTCAGTCGAGGCGAGCCCGTGATCAAGAGATCGAGCAGATTGTCGCTGAGGAGAGAAGCCAACGGAACAAAATGCCTAAGTACCCAGGACTGGAGCGCTGGATCTTGACGGACAAGATGGGCGACGGCGCCTTCAGTAACGTCTATCGCGCCAAAGATTCTACGGGGGAACATAACGAAGTAGCGATTAAAGTCGTCCGCAAGTTTGAAATGAATAGCAATCAGGTAGGCTTATTTGGACTTAACTTCTTGTTGTTCTCCCGATACCACTCCCCTCTTTCACAATTACCCTCATCTGCTCGGAGTTATACTCGTTCTCTTCCTGTGTGCTTAAACCAAACCATTTGCCGTCTCTCTTAGTCCGCCGCTCATCTACATCCCGAGGTCAAACATACCAAGGTTACGGAGGTGCGCGAATCTCTTAGCCACGCTAGACTGACCCGAAATCTTTCTTATTTCCTGTTACGTCTCGATTCCCCTTCGTGTTTTCTGTTTCTTACCGAGCAAGTTATATTAGGGTAGGTTTGCTGATTGCGATTCACAGCGCGCCAACATTTTGAAAGAAGTCCAGATTATGCGCCAAATAGACCATCCGAACATTGTCAAGCTGATCTCATTTTCTGAATCACGCCAATATTACTATATCATTCTGGAACTCTGCCCTGGCGGCGAACTGTTCCATCAGATCGTACGGTTAACCTACTTCAGCGAGGATCTAAGTCGGCATGTCATCACCCAGGTTGCAAAAGCAATTGAGTATCTGCACGAGACCTCCGGCGTTGTCCATCGGTATGATTCTTCTGATACCTTCAGACAACATGATCGGCGGCTAACAGCGTCTCCAGTGATATTAAACCGGAGAATCTTTTGTTCTATCCTATTCCCTTTGTTCCAAGCGAGAACCCCAAACCTCTTCAACCCGGTGATGAGGACAAAGTCGATGAAGGAGAATTCGTCCCCGGAAAGGGATCCGGCGGGATTGGTGTTATCAAGATTGCCGATTTCGGTCTCTCCAAAGTCATCTGGGATAGTCAAACTATGACACCTTGTGGGACTGTTGGTTACACAGCCCCAGAAATTGTCAAGGACGAAAGATACTCGAAGAGTGTCGACATGTGGGCTTTGGGTTGTGTGCTTTACACTCTCCTCTGTGGTTTCCCCCCTTTCTACGACGAGAGCATCCAAGTCCTGACGGAGAAGGTGGCGCGCGGCCAGTACACTTTTCTGTCGCCGTGGTGGGACGACATCTCGAAATCTGCGAAAGATTTAATCTCCCATCTCCTGACGGTAGACCCTGAACAGCGATACTCGATTAAAGAGTTCTTAGCCCACCCGTGGATACGTGGAAGCGATGAAGAAACCCAGGCGGCCACAGACGCTCCTCCCCTAACGACTCCTCTGCCCTCCGCCCGCCAACAGCCGTTGGACGCCTTCGCGGCGGACCAGGCACCATATGCTCCAGCCAGCGCTCGACTGTCGGACCAGCCCTCCGCCGGCTTGGAACGCCCCATGGACTTCCGGTCGCCCGGGGCGATCAACTTGCGCGAGGTTTTCGATGTGGGCTACGCCGTCCATCGCCAAGAAGAAGAAAGTAAGCGGCTGAAGACGTCCCGCGGCCGCGGGGCCAACCCGACCACCGCGTTCCAATCGGCTCTGAATCCCCTCAACGAGGATTATGACGAGGATGGCCCGCAAGTCACATATCAGCCCATTCACCAGAATGAGTATGCGGCGCCGAAGGTTCACAAGGGCTCTCAACAGTCTCGAGAAGTGGCTGCAATGGAAGCCAAATTGCGATCCACAAATCTGGGCGCTCAGCCAAGCGCTGCCGCCCAAGCACGACAGGCATATCAGCCACGACAGCCGCAGCAGGGCTACGGCACGCATAGTGCTAAGGTAGCAGCGGCAGCCAAGCAGAATATTGCTCGGTCATCGCGGCAACCTTTCGAACTCAGTCTGGATAACGCGACATTGTTAGAGAGGAGGGGTAGGCGGCATCAGGTTGTCTGAAATCTTAATACCTCTTTCGAAATGAATTTTTACGACTAAGAACGATGGGCCATGAATTCTATTCCATGATCATTGGGTGGTGGGGTCGCATTTGTCTCGGGTGTTATTCCCTTAAGGTTCTTTTTCTTCTTCTTTTTTCTTTCTGGATATTCAGGTTCGGGCAAAGCATTTTTTATGGGCTTTTATTGGGTTTCTCTACGGGGATATCTGCGTTATATTTTATGTTCTGTTACTTACGCACCTTTCATTATTTTGTGGCATATGGAGAACGCGGGACATAGGGTATACTTGCATTTCGAAGAAGTCCGTCTGTTACATTGGCCTCGTTTACGCGTAAACTCTCCTTGATGTTGTACAGTACAGAAGTAGCAGAGACATGCATCTAGATATTTATGTACTCAAAAATGCTCTGACAATTCCTCCTCGCTTTGTCACCTGATCTTCAGCCCTAAGTCTGCAAACATCTGGAATACTTATTAGTAGCGTATCTCTCATTTGAGGCATTTAACAGCCATAAGTCGTTTTCTTTGTTTCTACCGCTCAGGAATTTCCACAATAAATGAATAAACTTTACCTTTCATGGTCTAACTGAGAGAATCAAATACTCCAGTTTTTTTTAGGGACAAAGGACCTGAAAAGTTGAGGAAACGAGAAGGACAAAGAAAAAGGAAAAAAGAAAAAAAAAAAAGAAAAGAAAAGAAATGGTATTCAACAAACACATCCTTCTAGCTAGAAATGGTCATGCACAAGGGTATATGAATATGAGTATATGTATATAACGGGCATATATGCTTTTAATTTTAGGTTTGGACGGCAGGTAAATAAAGGTAATCATTTGATGTGTCGTGAACGTAACATCAACGCCAACATAAATCGAATCCAATGTATACATGAATGTGAGTAAAAGGGTATGTATATATATAGTAAGTCAGATGACATGTAGGATTCTATCCGAGGACCGGGGGAAGTAACAAATGGTATCATGCACATAACGTCACATAAACAGAGAAAATGATTTTTCTTATCCTACATTGACAAGGAAAAGTAAGGATGGAAAGTAAGGATGAGAGGAGAATAGAAAGGGTCTAAAGGGTCTGCTTTCCTCTCGTTTCGATGGGGAAGAGACACATGGCGACGAAGGAAGCCAGCATGAGGGCGCCGGAGGCGTAGATGGGGGCGTTGGGGTTGGAGGAGCCGCTGTAGATGGCGACAAGGGGGGCGCAGAGGCCTGCGATACGGTTCAGACAGCTGGCGATGCCGGTTCCGGTGCCGCGGTTGGGGGCGGGGAAGACCTCGGGGGTGTAGGCGTAGAGGACGCCGTACATGATGTTTTGGAAGAAGGCTTCGAGAGAGGAGCAGAGGAGTTGGATGTTGGGGTCTGTGCTGGCGGTGAAGCAGAAGAGGAGGACGCCTGTGATCAGGGTGGAGATGATCATTGTGCCCTTGCGGCCGATGTATTCAATGTCGACGGTGAAGCAGGCTAGGATGGAGCCTGGGACGCCGACGATGGAGGTGATAGCGTAATTGCGGTAGACGGTATAGGTGGATTGTTCAGCGCCGCCGCCGGACTGTTTGAGGTATTGGGGCAGGAAGGCATTGAAGAGGGGGTAGCCCATTCCGATTGTGGCCCAGCAGAACCAGAGGAGGGCGGCTGTGGGGGTTCATGTTAGTTGCGTGCGGTAGGATCTCGAAGGGGAGGGGGAGAGCTGGAAGGGAGACGTACTGTTAATACCAAGCTTCTTGGTGCCGAACAGAGGCTTGATACGATCCAGGGAGAACTTGGAAAGATATCTTCCGATGATCTCCTTGAAAGTAAGAGTCTGCTTTTCGACTTCTTCCGGATAGCCACCGATCTCGTTGAGGATCTCCTCGGTGAGCCAGGTTTGCTTTTTGTTCTTGTGGGCGATGCCGTGGACAGCATGCACAGCCTCGGCCTGGCGACCACGAGAGAGCAAGTACTTAGGGGACTCGTAGAGGTGGAAGAGGAAGAAACGGCAGAAGAACATCGCAAAGGTCAGAGCACCCAAGGTGAGAACAAGGTATCTCCAGCCCATATTATCCTGCTTAGTGCAGCACTGGACACCATCGGCAACGTTGTTGCAGGAAGGCAGGTCACTAGCGCAAGAGTAGGTTGGAATGTATGCCCATGCGAGTAGACTACGTCGGCTGTTAGTCGGATTTATCAAGTATCAATATACGGTTGAGCATACCTGGAAATAAGTTGACCAATGGGCCACCAGACACTCAGCATGGTCAGGAGGTTGCCAGAGGCGAATGGCAGAAACTCCAAAAAGAGTGCGCCATCAACTGGAAGATTTCCACCAACACCGAGACCCAAGCAGGCGTATAGGGCAGAGACACTGATTTATCCGTTAGCGACCATTCATCGTTTAGGAGCAGGAAAAGAGGAGATATACCCGACCCAGTTGGGACCACCCCCGGCAGCCAGACCGAACACACTGGTGATGAGGAGAGTCAGGTTGAAGGCAGGACGACGTCCAATAACATCCGATGCAATACCCCAGAACGAAGCACCCAGGCAAAGACCCAAGAACAACGCGCAGGTGGTGAAACGGACACGACTTTCAGAGACACCGAACTCCGCGGACAGTTGAGTCAATGTTAGGGCAACACCCTACGTAACCTTAGTACATGACATGGGAACATCAATCAAGCATCTTCCGGTTTCTTACCTGCAACCAGAGACTAACCAAGGATTGTTAGTCACAAATTCAATTATCAAGGCAGGAAAATATTCGCTTACTTGTCTGCCAACCAACCACAGCCACAGAGTGCAAACAGCTCCCATTGATAACGGCCCATGCCGATATCCTGAATGGCTCTGTTGATAACCTTTGCTTTTCCTGTAAACAACGATCAGATCCGCATCTCCAATAGGGCTATACGGGAAATTTGTCTTTTCTGCTTCTTTCTGTATAAAAGGGGGGCGGCAAGTGATTATTTCATGGGCAACAATCTAGGCACATACGGTCATATGCGGAGTCATGGCCGGAGGCAACAAGGTCTGTTTCGATTTCGGCGCGCAGGCTTTCAAGGGTCAAGTGGGCATTGTCAGAGAGTGAGGTGGCGACTCCATTCTCCTCGGAGGGAGCTTTATCGCTTCTGGCGTCAGTCTTCTCGTCAGGACCAGAATCCTTTCTATGTAAGGATGGGTTTGGGTGGGAATGCGCTGGGGCACTGCCGAGGGGCATGACCACCCCGGGGAAGTCGTGGTCGTGTTTCTTGAATGGGTTGAAAACCATGGTGCCGGTTCGTTTGCTGCTATGGACTGATGGGCTGGTGCGCTCTGGGAAGCTTCTCGATACCGGAGGGTGGTGATGGTCTACCGTCCAAGATCTGGGTTGTCAATTGGCAAGCCGTTCAAGGGGGGCTAAGTCTACTTTGGTCCGTTATAGTCGCAAAAGGCAATCAATCTCTATCGGGCTTTTGGTGATGTAGACCGGAACAAGTACTGGCGCTCAAGGGCCGAGATGGCAAGGTGCAATGGCTGTTCAATTGGGCTGGAAGTCGTTCAGGGTTTCATCAGTTGGGTGCTAGGGACCGTGATGTTGAGAAAAAAAGGCCGGGTTTGATTTTCTGTCCAAGAATTTGGTCGAGTGTCCGTGTATACCTGAGGACAGCTGCTACTGAACGTGCGTCGAATAGCTGAAGAGGTGACAAGTATTCTGTCACGCTGATGATGATGATGGAAATTTGGTGTAGACAACAAGTGTCACAATGATATATAGATTAGAAGGGAATTTGAGACAGAGAACTTTGACGGTCCGTTTTGGTTTGATCTGATAGTACGGGGACTGAAATATGGCGTATCTGTGTTCCCTGGATCGCAACGATGATTTAGGAACAGGGAGACGAAGCTGTGATAGCTATCGGCTTGGGGGGATTGAAGATTTGGATTGAAAGTGTGGGGATGGAAGAGAGAGAGAGAGAGAGAGAGAAGTATGGAAAGATGAGAGGTGAAGAAAGGCGACGAGGCAGAGAAGATGAGGAAACTTGGGGCCTATATAAGTATCCAATTCCTCCTACTAACCAGAAGAAATTAAAAATAAAAAAAAATAGAGAAAAAA